TCACCTCTTTGACAAACATTCATTACTCACAACAGATTACATATGACCCTTGTACTGTTCTAACAGCATTTACCAATATTGAATTTTTTCCATCCATTTTGCCATCTTTAGTAAACACAATACCAAGATTCAGTTTGTCTACTTGCTCTAATTTTCACCGTTTATATTTAACATGTACACTAATCGTTCACTCCTTTTCCTTGCCAAATGCAACTACATTGCTCTTTGATGCATTAATTTTCAGATCTAATATTCACCACAAATCATTCAGGTTCTCAGTCAACAAAAAAGCATTATTTTAATTAAAAAAAATACATGTGCAGTTCTCAACCAATAATCTACTAATGTAACTACAAGCATAGCATAAATTTTGCTTAATTACTTTGCCATATGCATGGATTAATGATATTAATTGATGATGATTAATAATTAATCATTCATTATATTTATAAGACCCCAATTAAAAAAGACTCAAGATGGCATGCACAGTTAAAAATATTATAAGAACATAAAACCAAGTAGAGTTTGGGGGAGATAAACAAAATGTCAACCATCCATCATTAATTATCATCAAAATAGATTCCATTGTACATTCTGTTCATAATCAAAACTACACTATCACTTTCCTATAGGTATTAATCAATTACATTCCATTAAATCAGACAATCTTTATTAGGGTCTGTACTACTCTTCCTGTTTCCCCTCATTTTAACACATTTGGCCACATGTCTATTTTTCTTTCATTTCATTTATACACATATGCTTTTTATCATTTATGCCCCTTATACTCCAAATCTCAATCTTTTACACACTGTGATCACTTCCAGATGGGCCCATAGATGATCTGTGCCACTGATCATTTCTTTGTTCAAGCAAAACATAATGTTTTAATAAGCTGGACTAAGTGCAGACTAAGTTATCAACCCTAACTATACCCATAACACATGCAATGTTTCCTATTAACAGTATGAACAGTACAGGTCAGTTTTGTACATTCTGGCCAGTATGCCACGTGCAATTTTACCCCAAGTATGTTCATGCAAGCTAGAGTCTTTAACCTAGAGGGTATCTTACAAGTCAAGATACTGTTGCCCAGATCCAAATCAACTTGGAGATATATTCAATAGATTAACAGACTCAAATATCACGGAATCATCTTCTAAGATGATGATCACCTAAAAGATGATTCTTTACACTATGTTTCATGGAAGCCTAGCATGTTTCATGAAACACAGTTCTGTGATTGACTAAGGGGGGGGGGAAATATCATTTGAAGACAGCCAATTTTCCATCATTAGAGTTTGCCTCTTGATCATCAGCTTTGGGATTTATTTATTTATTTACTCATAGGTTTTACTGACCTAAAGGATATTCCCAAGAAGTTTGTAAGATGGTGCATGGTAGTCATAGCAATGTAACACAATTTTGATTGCTGTATGTTCTGGAGACAAACTCTGCGGAATGTGGATCAAGAAATATAGCTACAGAAAGTGTGGAGATTTGTAAAGATTCAGCTCCCCATGATATTTTAACAGCTGTATGTCCACTAAATTCATGATTTAAAATATGTCTGCGTCTTCTTCTCTTTCACGTGCTCCTTCTTTCTGCCTCTTTCCATTATCTAATCAAAGGGCTTCTCTTCTCCATCCAGTTCCTCTCCATTACTCCAGCTTGTTCTTCATTCCATTATATGTACCGCAAATCCCTGCCATGCATACACATCTGTGGGTGTGCACACACATATACACACACATCTTCATCAAGATTTTTTTTAATAGATTTATTCCTAGCCTCTTTTTGATTCTTTACCATAGTGACCAGCTTTGGTTGCCAAGGAAACAAATATTCTCCCAGAGTGCCCCTCCCCAATCTTGAGCAGACAAAGCCCCTATTCCACCTCCCCACCATGCCGTCTGCCTCCCCTTCCTCCTCTACCTGCAGCCAATATTGCAGCCAAAAAGAAAAGAGCAGAAATAGATTTACACAGGGCAACCAACTCTCATTGCTCCTCTTCCCCAGCCCTTACCCTCAGCATCCGCCATAAGCAGTAAACACAGAAATAGCTTTCCTACCAAGCATTTGGCTACAGGGACCTGCATTTCCTGGAACATACCTCAGCAAGAGTTTCTTCTTCTAGGGCAGGGGTAGGCAACCTTGGCTCTTTTATGACTCGTGGACTTCAACTCCCAGAATTTCTGAGCCGGCTGGCTCAGGAATTCTGGGAGTTGAAGTCCACGAGTCATAAAAGAGCCAAGGTTGCCTATCTCTGTTCTAGGGAGTCCATCTATGACACAACCTTCAGGGGATGCTCCTGCTAACCCAAGCTTGTGTCATCTATACAGACTGCTACAAAACCAATTCCTCTAAAACAGAAGACATCTTAAGACAAAATGTGGACTACAGAAGGTATGGATTGTTTCACCGGTGTTCACTCTAAGCAACATGAATCAATATGCTGCTAACATTACAATTTTTGTAATATAATTTTCAGTATTAAATATGGCACCTGGATAGGATTAAACATTTTGAAGCCACCACCCCCCCCTGTGAGTTTCAATCAACATCAGCTGTAGTGATATGGATACAATGATACCCATTATAATGGCATTTAGGAAACTACATTAGTGAAATGAATACTACCTAGAACTCACTAATGTCCACATTGATATCATGTATAGTTTTTAGTAATTCTGGATTTTATTATTTACTATTATTTAACAAATAGCCTTCCTTGCCTTCCATGGAGAAAATAATACAATAAAGAAGCATGTTTATTATTAGAAAAATAACTAAGGGACAGGGAGGAAGAGTTTGAGTAGGAAAATGGTCATAGATAAATGAATTAACTAGTTCATCAAAACTATACCTTTGCTGCTGAATTCTGCAATGTCCACAATCTAATTTTAGTTTAGTTTGGTTTTTTTGGGTTCTTTTTAACCCAGGGTAAAGCTATACATTACGATTATGATTTACAATATCCTGGTTCATGTTTCCAGAAAAACTAACAAAAATTGTGTCAAATCTGTACTTGATCAAAAGAATAATTGGAAAATTAGCAGCCAAGAATAAAAAATACCAAGATGTGTTGGGACAGGAGATGCCAGGCATTATCTTTTTCCTAAAAAGAAGGGGTGCTACTTCTATAATCTACTCTGTTCTATTCTATAACCAGGAATGAAACAAACATAATCCTGTGATGTTTTTCTTGTAATTCTCCCTGATTCAACTAAACTGAGCCTCTTTTTTAGTCTTCCTTTGCCTCATTCCCCTATTCCAAAACAATCGATTTATTTTATTGAAGGTATTAAAATGGATTACGCACAGAACCTGTTACACTTTTCTAATTTGCAATTCCACATTGCCATATATTCTTTAGTAAGAATGAACTTATGGAAAATTTTAGCAGAAATGAATCACTGGTGCAGATTGATGAAAATTGGTTCTAGGTCACGCCACATGAATTCATAAGAATTCATAAAAAATGAATTCTTTTCATACTAAATTCTCAGCAAATCATTTTAAAAACACATGAAAAATATGTGTACATCATACAGTGTTAGTATGTGTTTATTTCAATTCATTTGTTTTTTCTATACAACTTACCAAATATAGAGATTTTGTTTTACATTACCCTTAATAAATATTTGTCTAAGCGACATAACATAATAAGCACATTTTCTATACTAAAAGTACATTAGCTCTAACATTTATTTTAAATGTAACTTTCTGGACTGTTTTCACTACAATCAATCATACTCGGTGGATTATATCGGGTGACGTTTTGACATGAACAGTTGGTTGATCAAAAATAGTTTTAGTCCCACTAATATCTTGAGGCTGCTAAATAGAAAGCAGAATCCAACCTAATTCAGGACAAATTACAGTGTGGAATTTAGGGGTCTGGTGTCCTGCAATTATTCAGAGAAGATAATTCCGGGAAAATTCCACTGGTCATCAGATGGTTTGATGGAGTTTTGGTTAAGAGACCTGAAAAGCACTTGGGGAAAGTCACTGCTGAATGAGTGAACCCTTGAGGATAGTGAATAGCATGGAAGAGGGGATTTTTTTAAAACCATTCTTGATAGAGGGAATTAACACCAGGGTGAGAAACTGCTACACATGCTGGGTAATGGGTGAGTTAACTCAACAACAGATGCCTTTATATTCCTTCTGGAAAAAATACTTCTGCAATTTATAAATTACACATTTCCCACTAGACTTGTAAAACAGAAGTAGTACACATGGAACCCCTATATCTAGCAAATGTCTTGCAGGATTTTTAAAAATATTTCTCAAATTCTAATCTATACTGAACCCTAAAACTATCTTGATTAGCAGCATAGGATAAAAGTCCAAACAAGGCCATCTTTCAGGATAACATTCTTTTGTGGACCACAATTGACCTCCTAGCATAAGATGTTCTGAGCTTTACTCTTAGCCCCTTGAATCTTCTGCTGTAAGAAAGCATTTATAGCAACAACAGCTGATTTCGTGCCTTCTAGAAGTTTTGGGTGACAACTTCAACAATTCTTTCAAACTAGCCATCCTGCATAAAACCTATGGCAATTAGTCTTACATCTGAACAGCACCCAGCTGCCTTTTCTTAGAGTTGGATACTGTCCAAAGATCATAGGAGTTGTGGTTACCTAGACCGTGTTGCTGGGAAAGGCTGAGATAGGCTGTTGGGTCAATAGAAGCAACTCTTCTATTTTCTCACAGATGAAGGCAAATATTCTATTTCTGTTTTCTCTTTCCAAGTTTGACATCTCCATCTTTCAGCATTCTAATCCCTCTTACTTACTAATAAATAACAAGCATAAATTAATTATAAAAGTCATTCTGAGCAATAAAAATGCCTTGAAGGAAATGATTACAATGATTCCAGGTAGAATGTCAACACTGGGATTTATCAAAGAACTAAGACAACAGCTTCCAAAGACTGCTAAGCAGCTCCCTAAGTGGGATCTGTCTTGCTGATTTTTCCCCAAATCAATACTTACCAGTGTAGCCTTCTTGGCACTCACAGGTATATCCTCCTTCACGGCTTTGGCAATGCCCATTATTTCCACATGGATTAGAGTAGCAAAGATCAATCTCAGTTTCACAATAATCACCAGTAAAACCCAGTGGGCAACGGCAACGCAAACCATTGACAGGATGGATAGGGCGGAAAAGAATAGTGTCGGAGGAAATGAAGGGTGCTGAGCTGTCAAACTTCAACACTGAGACACAGCGCATATAATTCTCACAGGGTTCCCGCAAACAAATATTATCATCAAAAGGCAAGACCCTCTGCTCTGAAATAGCAGTCAAAAGTGTCCGGTTGAGGTACAGTCGTTCTTGGAGATCTTCTGAAGGAATATAATGGCTCCCATGAATTCTATCAGGCAATTGCACTGACAGACTAACATTCAGGATTTGGGCAGCCTGAACATCTGTGTCATTTTGGATGTTGAAAAGGACAACATGATCACGGGGAGCAGATAGCACAGTTGCTACTCCTTCAAGAAAGAGAGCCAGCAGTGGTGAAAGGAAGCGTTCTTGGGACATGTTCTCCAGCCGCAAAGTGATACTGTTGGTCAGCATCTCATCTGTGATAATGGTCACCTGCAGCATGCATTGGGCAGCAACACTGTGGATCCCATCTATAGAAAACAGGAGAGAGAATAATTAGTTTCAATCTGCACTGAAGG